CCTCTTACTTTTCTTTACAGGATCTCATTCATATTTTCACAGACTTCCTCAACAGATAAAAGCAGCCACAGATGTGCATGAACAATTTCTGACACCCTCTCAACAAATAAGGTAAGCTTAACAAAAGCAGCATATCAAACATGGCACTGTATGTGTTGCATATACAGTATCCAGCAGAAGTGTTCTACACATCATGTACTGAGTCAATGCACCAAACATTTAAAAGTATGTTTTCCAGTAAAGGCAGTCAGAAGCCACTACTGTACATCACTGGCACAAGAACAAGAAATAAATCAAAGCCAGCTGGAATGAAACGCACATAAATGACCAATTTGCTGTTCTCTGGTGCAGATACACCTGCATGTCACATATAGTTACAGTATAAAAAGCGCCTGCATGAATAATATTTTGTACAGATGCTGGATGTCTCGGGTTGACTGAGTTGCTGACGACAGCTGTATGGGTGAGTTTTTTTTTAAGTCCCGGAAGATGAAGAGAGAGAGATGCCTGCTGCCTCCAGAATACACAGATTAGACTCTCTGTTGCTGCTCTCTGCCCGGTGTCCTCTTCACACCTGAACAGGCAAACAAATAAACCTGCAGTGCTACCCCAGAATGCTCAACACTCACGATTAATATTTTATTTTTCCCTCCAGCTAACTGAAGAGCTTATGCAAGGAGTAAAAATCAGCAGGTCTCCAGAGATATGTTACTGTGTATGTGTGTGCCCAGCTTGTACTGTGCACACCAACCTGGTAAAGTAGACTCTGCAATAGTTGGCAGTTTGAGAAAGGAAAAAAAAAATAGGATGGGATATTTCTCCCGCCATCTGTTTACTTGCTTCAGATCATTAGTAAAATATTAGTAACAATGCCAGCAGCGCATTAATTGAAGGTGTCAAACTTTGGCTCACAGTCACCTCTATCCAACACTAACCCACCTCAGCAGAATCAGCCCCACTTATACAATACATGGGATATCCCAGCACTTTGCAAACACTGTGAAAGGACATACTGTATTCCCATTGTCCTTGTATCCTTTGTGTCATATCAACAAAAACACAGAGAATTTAAAGTGACATTCAGGGTAATATCAGTGTTTTCAAAATGAGATAGTTACATTTATTAAAGGTTTAAAGGGGCCCAATTATGTTTTTTTTTTTTAGTGTTCCCTTTCTGAACATTAAGGCATGTAAACATGTGGCAGTAGCTGCTTTTAATTGAGCTGCCCATACTCACACTACAGTAGGCCTTTTTAGTCATGTATTCTGTACATGCTGTGTTTATTTTATTTCATTAACTTTGCTTATTATGCCTGTTTAATAATGTATTTATGCTGTATTTGTTCTTAAATATATTTTGCTTTTAATGTGTAAAGCACTTTGAATTGCCACGTGCTGAAAAGTGCTATATGAATAAAATTGCCTTGCCTTGCCTAGAGGCACAAAATACAAATATGCAACCTGTACATTAGCATAATAGGGCCTCTTTAAACTTGGAAATAAAAGGAGAACTTAGGAGAGATGAGGCATAACAAAATATTTCAATAACATATAGTCCAAAAAAATAACAATACACTGACATGAATTGTCTGTATTCAAACAGTTAGATTTTGCAAATGTACTTATGAGTCAGTTACTTTAAAGACATCATTATTAAACTACCTAAATAAGTGCGGCTTGGTACTTCCTGTTTTTGTTTAGTACCATTATAATGTCACACTGTGTTACAGTAGCAACAATAGAGAAGTGACATAAAGATAGCAACTTTGATTCTAAAGTAAGCGGCAGCATCAATGTTTATTTAATGTTTGTGACCAAAAGCTAGGCATAAGAAGATTTCTAGTGAATTGTGCTTTATAAATACTATAATTTGAACATTGAAGATTGTGTAACACACTTTTTAAAAATCAATTTGCTGATGGAAGATAAGGGGATATTATTGAATACGTTATACTACACCGTGAATAAATGGATTCATGTGGTTGAAGTTGATAATCATCACTCTAGTGAAATCAATTAGTCCCTCAGCTCTGTTGACAGCCATTGTATACAAACCTCTGACAGCGTAGGGAAAATCCTTCTACGGCGTATTCGTTAAGTGGAACAGGCTGTGAGTAGCTTTCAAAACCAACACATTATGCATTGGAAAAAGTATTCCCACAATTATAGAAACATTGTGTAAACCGTGTCGTGGTTTTTGCTGAATCTGAATCACTGCATTGAACCAGCGAATAAACCGCATGAATCATTGCAGCAATAATGGAATTTGTAGCTGACATGAGCAGCGCCGAGTCAATTGTTGTGCAACACTCACACACAGTTCATTGTTAACACCCTTGACATCTAGTCATTAGTGATCTGCAGCGCAAGGACGTGACACATGCTTGGCATTTATATCAAACAACACATTTACATCCCACTGACTGCTCCCTTTGACATCTGCCCACATTAAAACACTCCCACAAAGCCAATCTCTCGCCGTCTCCCGGCAGCTAAAACCACAGTTCACACACGTTATTATCTCTGCTGCAGATCATTTCCCTTCGTCCTGCAGGAGGCAAAGGAGGCCATGTATGTTTGACCGAGCCAGGGAGTGTAAAGCAGTGGCTAAATCTCTGTAAGCAGGCCCTGGCACAGATCCCCAATTGCCTGCCTGCTGTGTGGGCAGTGGGTCTGAAGGGGACTAATCCCTTGGCATGGTGCTCGGGTCACACATTTCGATGTGTACGTCTGTGCGTCTGCAGAAGATCCAAGCTGCAGGATGAAGACCTGGCGAGGGATTCAAAAAGCCCTGCAACGCCTCCCCTTCTTAAAGCAGCCCACACAGAGTCTCGCATGCTCCTCGGAGATGATGGGTAATGTTTTTGGAGGTGTGCCACAGACAGGGACAGCCCTGCTCTTACATAACCTCGGTCTGCTGGAGATTGCGTTGGAGTGTGTGGCCTTTGACCCCTACATGCTGCTCGGTTTTTTCTTAAGTGGAAAGCAAATGTGCGGTTGTAAAAAGTTGACTTGCTGTTTCAGCCTCTTCCAGCTGCAGATGGCTAAGAGGGTGCGGCACCTCTCCTGTCAGTCATCTTGGCAATTAAGGTGAGCTGGAGGGTGGCTCAGGGGTAAACAGGAGTCAGCCAATTGGAGGGTCAGAGGATCGATCCCCAAACTCTGCAGATGACATGTTGAAGTTTCCTTGGGCAAGATAGGCATCTCTACGGTATTCAAGTGTAGGCAATGTAGGATAATATAGTAGCTTTTTCCCTGCAGCTTTACAAGTCCCACTGTGATTTCAAGACAGCACTGTTGTCTGTAAAACACTCGACACACGTTGAAATAAGCTCAAAAAACTGTAGCTTAATAGGAGAGGCAACAATATCATTAAAGCAATTTTTATCATAGCCTTTTAAAGACAACCCCACTATGATTAGTTGTCTGCTTAAGATAACAACATCTCATCCAATTATTAAAAGGCCAGGTGAAGAAAATCGTTTGAAACATTTTCTGTTCATACGCTGATGTAATCTGAGCTCACATGTTTCTTATAAACACTGAACGTATCGTGTCAATCAACCTAAGATGGGCCTCTTTCAAGTATTGACATCAAATTTCAATATGATTTACTGTCATGAGTGTAACAAGCGCATCATTGCCAAAGCGTTAAGTTACAAAACAAAACAATTAAATGACATGTGATTAAATCACAGAGAGCTTGACAACATTACCCATTGAAGCTTGTTTTACTGCGACTAATGTTATATGATTTTTAATTGCTGAAAATTAGATTAAAAGATTGAATTAGAGTCCGCCCACCAGCACGTGTAAAGCCACTAAACCTATTATACCATAAACACACGACCAACAAACAGTCTAGCACATGACTCCCCGTAATACCACAAGTTGTAATTTTTACAAATGGGCTTTGTACAGAATCAACACATAAGCTTTCCAACTGCTGGTCGGATTCTGTTAGCTTCAAACTGAGCCAGGCTAGCTGTTTCCAGTCGTGCTAAACTAAACTAACTTATAAAAACATTACAGTGTAAATCTTTTTTGGTCACTTTTTGTAGGTTTCTAAGAAAGCAAGCTTATATTTCACAAAATGTGGAACTATTTCATTAAAGTTCTTGGAAGTGGAAACATCCTCTGCTTTTAATTGAATGGGCTACACTATTAAAAGTTCACTAATGGGAAGAGACTTAATTATTTTCTGGGGGCAGACTATAAATACAGCTGGATGCTAACAGGAGATGTGCAGCATGGCTTTTATTACCAACACTGCTGCAACATTTAAAATACTTTGAATCATTCTCTTATGGGAGGAAACAGTACAACAAAAACGAAATATGGATAAAAGAGTTAATATATCGGGAGTATCCAGTCTGTTTGTGGTGAATTTTCCCTTACATCAACATTATTTGACGGTTTCATAACTTATATCAAAGTATAACGTCTCTTCTTCTAATCATACTTTCCTTTTGGAGTCTGTAGGGAATGAAACTGTCCAATTATTTATTGTATCAAAAAGTGACAGCACCAGGTGACAACAGCTAACATCAATAGGTGAGCAATGACACCTTGATTTGAACTGAAGCACCCACTGTCTTGTTGGGTGTCATATTGCGGAGATGCCAACTATTGATCACAAACCAGAGGTGTAGTGGAGGATTAAAACAGTCCAACCTTTACATCTCAAACTGACATATCTTTGGAAAAGTTCATGACACATAAAAGGAAAGTTGGACTCTTGAGTGCTTTTCTGAATACACAGCAGAATTGATTCCCCCCCCCCTTTATAATGGTAATTATTTAACTTATAGTGACCACTGACATATTTTACCCACATTAAATCTACAGCTGTCACACTGACTTAAAGCTCATTACATTATTCATATCTAGTATGTGCAGGTCCAATAGCTGTTTGTGTGAAGCAATGTTCTGGAGGCAAACTATTAAAATCTTGGCAAAAAAAAGCTTAAGGCAGAGAGAAATTATTTCAAGGTTATATATTTCAAAGGGAGGGGAAGGGGGGGAGGTACTAATGCCCGTGAGCTTGAAGATCTATAACCTCAATTATCCAGCAAGATATCAAAATGAGGATACCAGGTGACTTGGAGGCTAGTTATTAAAGGGGTCTGTGTTTGGGATTTAGAAAAATATGGATTTTGTTTCATAACAGTGAGACTAGTGTTGTTTTGAGGAGCATGATAGGGCTTGCCTGGTCGCACAAATCCAACCTGTGCGATTGATCTGGTGCAAATAACGTGAGAGATCTCCGGGCTGATCGATGAGGTGTCAATCCAGACAGCACAAAAAAAAAAGCTGTTTGCACATGCAGTCAGAGGAAAGTCCGGTCTCCTTGAAAGGGCGCATAGTGGGAGGGCAGCTGGAAGCACAGGGGGCTGATGGTCCTCTCTCTCATCAGCTTGTTCTGCACCGAGGAGGAATCCATGTGAAGGGGGAGGCGCCCGAGCGAGGCGAGCTGCACGACTGCTGGCCGAATTCAACAATTAACCTTGATGAACACAGATTGGTTTCACTTAACAGACGCAGGTGCGTGGAGTTTGCGATCCGGCGCAGCTGAGCGACCCCACGTTCATGGCTGTGTACGCTGACGCATTCGATGCCAAACACAGAAACTACACGGAGAGAGGATATTGCAGCTGATGTGTGTGTATGTGTGTGCTTTTCTCGACGGGACAGGATACACGTTGCAATGGGAGCCCGTCCGACACCCTTCCTCTTGCCGAATTCAGGAGCATTGCTGAATTGACTTTAATTTGGTGAATTTGACCGCCTTGTCATTGCCCAGCCCACCGGTCCCAGCAGCTGAAAGGCATCTTCGGAGACGAGCAAAAGGGGGGAGAAACTGTCCGCTCCACTACTCTCCATCTGCGCCCTGGACGGCTTGAAATGAGTAGCACATCCTGGCTGTGTTCCGTTTGAAGAAGGCAAGCGGGGCGGCAGTTTTTTTGGCTTTCAAGGACGCAAAAAAAGTGGCCACCGGCCGAGCTGAGAAGCATGGAGCGGGACGACACCGTGAGCGCGTCCAAAAAGACAATAATCTCGAAGATATTTAAAGTTCGTAAGAGGAGGGAGATGCTTTTCATTCAGGTGTGCTTTATCTGCAGTGCCCTTTTCCTGGCGTGGGGCATGTCGGCGCTGTTGACCAAGACAGGTGAGTGGGGAGGAGACTGCTGAGATGCATCGGGGCACAGGGAGCTGGGGAAGGAGCTCAAGACTCAGAAATCTGCAGTGAAATCATGCACCCACACACACATCAGTATACTTTATAAAGCATCGATCCGATGAACAGCATTATTCTCAAGGGCATTGGATCAGAGCGTTACATTTGTTTGCATGTTCATATAGCAGACCGAAAGTGAGGAAGCGATGCCTCTGATTTTGGTTGTCCACCCGTATTATAAGATATATTAAAATGCAGCAAATGGCCCAGGATGCGTTTTTTGTACCCCTGACAGTCGAAAAAGTGAGCTGCACATGTTGGTGTCACGTTACAGTATCTTTCTTTTATCTCAGTGTTGGGTACATGCGTCTGTTTGTCCGTATATGCCGCAGTGTGCGCGCCGTGGCAGCGGCACGTTTTTAATTTGAGAGGCAGGCTCATAATCACGCACACCTCCTGCTCCACATGCACACAGCGATCATGTAACCGATCCCAGAACGAGCGCAATTTGGTTGTGGTTTGTTTGCTCTTTGCATTTTTTCTGCCCTATCTTTTTTTTGTTCTTGTTGGGGGCATTCTCGGTCTCACTTCACCGGAGCTCAGGATGGTGTTAATGCTGGCATCATCACGCCTGGCCCGGGGCCACACACACACACACACACACACACACACACACACACACACACACACAGGCCCACCTTAATCACACTCGAGCATCATCACGCTTCCAGGTTTCGCATGGCCATCGAGGGATGGTGATTTTACGCAGAGGCCACTGACGGGGTGGAGGGTTGGTGAGGATAAACACTGGGACGTGTTTGCTTGCTGAATGTAACAATATTCATAGCTTGATGCTCGAGGGGTGATCATGCGTGTGATTCCCCCATGCAGGCACACACACTCCAAACCACATGCCCTCCCATGCACACATGTCAAAACTCTTAACTCGGGCCCGTGCAAACGATGACACACACACACACACACACACACACACACACACAGTTATGTAAGCTAACTAGCAACCTTGATATTTAGCTTGTGAAGAATGATATCTGATACAGCAATGGGATCAGAGGTTAACTAACACCCCCCCCCCCAGAACAGTGCAGGGAACACTAAAACTGTGCTGTGTCATCTTGAATTTTTGAAAACAATTTTAGTGACTTACTGTCTTAAAACGGGCATTATGGGGAGGACAAGGCCCTCCCCCCTCAACGTGCTTTTAACCCCATGTCTCAGCAGACCTTGGCCTGTCCTGGGATCTGTCCATCTGCAACCACTTAGGCCCCGGGCCTGAAAGCAGCTGTAAATTCCCCACAACTCCTGCCTGGCCGCAGATCTCTAACTGATGTATCGGGAGTTTTTATTAATTACATTAAAAAACAACAAGAGGCTTAAAAGATTATTCTGGAATGATATCATACAGTCGAGTGCAAATCTCTTATCTCCAAAGGCAGGCACTGGGAGCCAAAGTAAGCCCTCCTCTGTCACTAATGGCTTGCTTTTTTTCATTTAATCAAGTTTGCCTGACCCACGCCGTGATATTCATGCAGGGGTATTTGACAGAAGGCGTTTTCGTTGTGAATAGCATCCTGTGTCCAGTGGTGGTTGTGCTGGGAATTCAAGGTGACAAAAAAAGAGAAGAGAACCAGAAATACTCTCTGAATCCACGAGACCCAAACCTCGCCATAATGAGATCTGTGTAATTGAATAGCTGTGGCCTTCTCATCTTTCATCCATCAGAACAGGAACACGCATTTGTCATGTCACCGTAAAATCTGTGCCATGTGTTTGCCAACAATTTGATTGATAGTAGGGGGGGGGGAAGTGGAAGTGTTGATGTGCTGAACGGTCCAGATGGATGGGATTTGATGTACTACTCCCAGGTTACATCTCCATAAAGAGGGGTGGGGCGCAACATGTCGTGCATGCTGATGGTTGCTGTGTGCGGGTATGTGTGGCGGAGGCTGGCCTATAACAGGTGTTCATGAGGAGCAGGGCTCAGCTCTGACAGGTAGCTGCAGCGGGATGACGCTGATGGGTGGGGTGGTGGCAGCAGGAAGGTGGACACGTATAAGCGTCTTCACCACAAAGAGAGATTGATGGATGGTTGTCCTTGGTCCTGAGCTGATTGGACAGTTTTGGAGGACGACATTACTGCTGTGCTATTGCTGCTTGTTGTCTCACTCTGCTCCTCAATGTAGTCTCATAGTGCTCAGTCTTATTCCATTTGGGTTTATTGCTTTTATAAAGTAGATTTAGTCTCTGTAATGTAACTGCGGTTTTCATGATTTCAGGTTGGATATAGTGTAATACTGCTTATCTATAAAGTAACTTTAATGTGCGTACAGTATGTTAACCTTCATGGGCGGCTATTCTGAAGATGATCTTTTTGATCTGAAACGATAATGAGGATATCTCCCTTTTTTTTGCATTTCACGAATCATTGACTGTGGTTTTAAAGAATATTTAGCCTCTCTCTAGTAATCTATTCCAGATTTGATAACTCTAAGCCTCAAGATTTTGATCTAGACCGTGTACCATGCAGTCTAGGGATTGCCTTTTTTTCGAAGGGGTGTATCAGAGTTTTTTTTTTTATGTTTTAACATTTAAAATGATTTAAAAAATCTGCAAATACTACACTTCATAGTCCTACAGCCCATACAAAACATTAAAGAGAGCAGAATGTCAGCCCGGGCCGCAGCATAGCAGTGCCACTGGTGTCCGCAGTAAAAAAAAAACATGAAGAATTAGCCTGGACAACAAATCAATGTGAGTCATGCCTACAACACACTGCAGTCCATATTTTACCCCCAGCCTGCCTAGAAGTATTGACAGAACACGCCTTAATTGTTTCTCCATATCAGATGCCTGACAGAGAGCATGCACCGAATGACCCATGTTTCAATGACATTCATGTCTGTTGTCTTCCAGGAAACTATAAGAATCTGTGTCTTAAACAAATGATTTCACAGTTATGGTCAAGTGACTCTAACTTCTTCAAAGAATTGCGTTAGATTGACTGTTGAGCAAACTTTCTCTGAAAAGAATGAAGTCCACTGTATCCAATCGGTCATTGTGAAACAGACCTTGTGCTTTACACATGACTTTTAACCCCGCCCTCACACTTCACACCTTAAATTAGGACGGGTTTTACATTGACCATTGCTAGAATACAGTGAAACAAAAGACTGGAGACATTATAGGAGAGAGCTGGTGAGTGGGGAGGAACAGGTTGGAGTGATGACTGGAGGGTTTGGTCTTTTGGATCTGAGAGCTGTGTGAAGCAGCTGCGGTACAGTCTGCTTGTCCAGCGCCTGCTGATTGTCCGGCTGTCCAACTGTACTGGATTGAAAGCCATTTAATAAAGACATTGTGTGTTTCAGTAAACATTTGGTCCCGCTAGTTGAGTTGAGACAGGGACGTACTTGTAGGTTGGAGAGTAGAAAAAGAGAGGGTGCCTAAAAAGATATTTGATTTATGTTTGTCAGGCGCTTGTTAACATGCCACCTGCTAGATGTTTAAACAGACTGCTCATTTTCCTGAAAAAAAACACTTTTATTAACTTTAACATGTTGGGTTAACAGCTTGTTCACTCAAACAACACAAGTAATCATTCTACCAAAAGTTATAATTAAATATTAATTCAAAGTGAATATGTGTTTCTAATTTACTTTGAATTAGGGTTGAAGTACATTTATTGTTAAATTAAATCAGATTATGAACCTGCAATTAACTTAATCCATTAATAATCTCTGTAATTTTTAAGCAAAAAATGCTATACATCTTGAGTTTAAACTTGTAAAATATCAGTATATTTAGGTTTTCCTTGTCGTTTCTTTGACATTGACATTTGGTTAGAAAACGCAATTTAAAAACAGTACCTTAGAGACTTTTCTTAATAATTTGTCCTTGGAAGTTGTTGTTTTTTCCATATTTGTTGGACCAAACCATTGATGAATGAATCGAGAAAGTAATGAGATTGTTCGCGTTAGTTTGCAGTCCCCAATTACTCATCAGCAAGCATACACCGATTCATTTCCTAACACTGAGATAATGTGATTCGACAGCTACAAAGTCTTTCACAACCTGCAAAGAAATTCCGAACAGGTAGCGTGAACAACTTGGATAGCAATCAAACACAGACCATCTGTCCTCAGGGTATTCCCTAGTGATGCTCATAATGCGTATACAGCGATACGGTTTAATCATGCTGCTACAAGTTACTACTTTGTCAATTCAACATCAAATTTGTGTGATATATTATGAAAATTGCATGTTTTTTAAAACGCCGCTCAAGTCGTGGGACTGATTTTACATAATACATTTGGGACAGCAGTAGTTTTTTATGTCCTCATTATGGAGGCTTAAGAGCAGTTTAATGAGAAATGAAACTCGTACGCTCCTCCTCCCACTCTCCCGCCCTGAAACATAATGGCACGGCAGCTGCATGTTGCTGTGTGATAGCTGACGCCGGATGAAAATGTCATGTCTAAAACTTTTAAGAGCAAAGCAACCTTATTTGGATTAAGTACCGTGATCATGGACATGTTGGGTCATGAAACATACTCTGTGCTCGAGCAGCCATGTTACTTTTGATGAGTTTCAATTTGCAAAATGGAGTGTTGAGGTTTCCTTGAATAAAAAATGAATTGTTTCTTCAGATATTTAGCATTGACCTCCAACATGACGTGTGATATAAATGTGCATACTTGTCTACAAGCTTGTTTTATTCATGTTGAATATGTGATGAGCAGAGCTTCTGTTTTCCATTGCAGGCCATGGGATGATCGTGGAGGGACATCCGAACCTCGAACACTGGGGAAGACGGCTAATGGCCTCAGTTCCAGACAACGAAACGGAGCAGAAGAACTGTTCAGCACCAGGTATGTTTTGGGATTAAAGATTCACTATCAACGTGTTTTTAACCTGCAAAAGATGACTGACTGTATTTCATAAGAGGTCCCACATAGTGATGTACCGAGCATCTTGGCGTCTTTCAGGTCATTGTTTTGGTTTTACGCCGAACAAAAATGCTGAATATCCCACTACACTCAACCTGCCCAACACCAAACGGCAGTCAAGCTCAGTTAGCGACTATCTACTGAACGTGTACAGCATTTAGAAAGCTAAAGAGCCATATTTTCCCCCCAGGAACAAAACAAGCTAAACGTATGAGACGTGCATTCCTCATGCCGACAGAAACACTATTGCAAATGAATGAATAGGTTGCGTCTAGGCAATTTTTTGCTAACATGTTTGCCATAACAACATTATGAGGTTTCAATGCTGTCAACAGCTTGTTAAATTGCCCCCAGGCTGACAAATAAATCAATTAATATGGCTTCAAATGAGCAATTTTCCTCAATGACATACAGTCTGTAGATAGTCAAGATCTCTTAGTTTCAAAAGCTGGGAACAATTCAACGTCAGAAACACACAGACTGCTATGGGCAGACTATTTCAAAAGATTTTCCAAGACAAACGCATTAATAACATTTGATAAAATCTCAAAGTAGTGCTTAATATTGAACGTTTTTAAAATGAGATCCTGCTTTGATTGGGTCTCTATTGCTCTGACTCAGTTGAGAATACTTGCGCTGAAAAGGCTATTAAAAGGGTTGGGTATTGATTATGCTGAAGCGTCTTTGGTACGCTTAAAGGAAGCAGCATTCTCTATAATTAGACAACTAGACTCTACGCTGACAGTTTCACTGACACAGCTCACATCCTAAGCTGCGTTTCTTATGAAATTATTGATTGAAATGTAGCGGCAGCAGCAATGCAAAGCCATGTCATCGGAAATTCTTAGTGTTTTACAAGCACATGGTTCATTTAACTCTATGATCCTGCATGACAGTGTAATAAAACGGCTTGGAGTAGTTTTTAGTAACATATGATACAGTTTGTACTTCCTTCATATTAAATGGCTGAACAGGATTGACCTGCTCTTTCAAGCCTCTATATTTTAAGCCTTAAAGGGGCAATTTATATTGAAAGGAAACATGTTGAACTAATTTGCTACATTATGTGCAACTGAATATTCTGATTTGTATTACTATATATTTTGGCTCTCACTCAAAGGATGACACCAGGACAATTTAGGAAGTAATTAAAAAACGTACCAGTTTTGTCACAGCAGGAAGCATCCATCATTGATTCTGTTACCTCCTATTTTATACATATAAACATTAAAAACTCAAATGTTTGCACTAATGACTCTACACTATTCAGTATTGTGGCCATTTGATGGGGAAGCTCTCTGTCACAGTGGGTCCTTATTGAAAATGAGTGCCAAATGACAAGATTATGTGCTTGAAGTTTTTTTTCCTAATCCTTCAGGATTACCTTCTTTTTTTCCATTCAAATGTCTTCGGCACTGGAGGCACCAGACTGAACTTCACATTCCACACATTTCTCAACGGCTCTAGTTTCCTTTCCTCTGATCCCTCCACTGCTTTGCCTCGTCACCGTGATCTGATCATATGACTCTTTGTTTCCTGGGTCTTGGTCTGGTGAATAATCACGTAATAGATAGATTTCAGGTTCCTAAACTGACTGCTTTGTTTCGCCCAGTCACCAACAGCATGAGCCGCCCTGACTGAACTATCATACGTAGAGTAATGTTCATTATAGTATGTTCTGCCTCTACTGTGACATTTCTCCATGCTTTAAGGTTCAAAAAGGTCTTTATTTCTCTCATACTGCCTGTGCTGCAGCACCTCTTTTCACCCCCCCAAAAAGCATAATAGGCCCCCCTCAAAAAACGATTGGACTTCTCAGTGATGTTGAATGTGTGTTTAGGACTTTTGTAGTAATGAGGGTCAGTATCTTGACACAAGACGAGTAAAATCTCTGCATCAGTTTGAAGAAAGTGCCTCAAGTGGTGTTTGTGGTCACATGGAATCACACAGTCAGCTCTTTGATGACATGATTCATGGTCAGTTATATACAAAAAATTCAACAAACACAACTCTGGAAATCATCAACTATGAAAATCTTGCATCATTTGACACACTTGTCTCTGTAGTTCAAAAAACAGTCTGACTTATTGTTCATGTTGCAGTTGTCATCTGGAATGGATTTGCATGGTGTCTGTGGAAGATAAGTCTTTGCTTCCAACTCTCAGTGAGAATCATCTTTGTATCACAGATCTGTGGGTTTGTCCAAATTCCCCGGGAAGTTGTTTGTCCAGAACTGATGATTCAGTCAAAGATAAGCGATGGCTCGGCTGTGAGCCTCTCCAGGGGAACGCATTCACCGTGCATCCCAGCTCGATCGGATAAGAATTATTATAGGAGGCTTTCTGTTTTATGCTGAGTGTTTGCAACATCTTAAGCTCACTTTAATTAAGCCACTGTTTGTAGAAGGAGAGATCACATTAAGATAGCCCTGAGGCATGTACTACGAAGCCGGATTTTCGCTTAGCGAGGTAACTTCAGGATTAACCCGGTCCTACGACGCTGGTTCACTTCTTACCGGGGTAGATCTCCATGGTAACTTATGCCGAACGGCAAACCTGGTCCGGAGCAGGTTAGGTTCCTGTGTTCACTCAGTGAAAGCACCGCCTGCTGACCAATCAGAGCTCAGTGTGCAGAGTTTAAAGCTATCAAGTCATATTACAGGAGAAAGGAAATGCAGAAAAACTGCCATTGCAGGAAAGACGGCCGGCGTGAATGTGAACATTTATAAAATATCGCCTCCCATCTTCAGAGCAATCTGACTAATATAACATTAGCGTTAAGAAAGCTTACCTAAATATCTGCCACAACATAAGTAACCGGATCAAAGTAACATTAAGTGCAGACGTACGCACTGTGAGTGCAGACATCGATGTGTCCCATTATCATTCATATCGCATCATAATGTATCATATATTTCCTTATCTGAGTCAGCTTCTTGAGCCGTATCTGGCCGTGCAACACAAACAGTGTCTCTTTTATTGGCCTTTGACGAATTACCCCTAAACTAACAGTTTTTGTGCTTCTGCTGAACCACAACGAATGCCTATAAAGTACAGAGGGCTAAAACACTGAGCAAGGGACTGATGCATCCTCTGGTTACTGTTATTTAACCGTCACATGGAAACCTCGAGTCACACCACGCCTTGAGATGCGTTTCCCCTGTAGCAGTCCCATAACAAATGGAACAAATGCACTCTTTACTTTTTTTAACCTACATTTACATCTGCAATAACTCTCTGGAACAAAATGTTTTATTTCTGAATTCAAAAGTCAAGGCTGTGTGAGGAATGTGATCAGAGATGTGTGTTTGACTTAACTTAAGGACACAGAATATTAGATCATAAGTTCCCCTGTGGCTAATGCTCTGTGGGAGGAATAATTAGCTTTTAATAAAGATGCTCCAATACCATATTTAAAGCTCCGACTTGAGTGGCATAATTGGCCTGATAGAAGTAGACTGCGACAGGGCAAAATGTAGAAGTGAACAACAAAGCAAAGGTTTTAGTATGGCTTGGTTTGTACTATGAATTAATCGGATAGGATTTGATTGTAGAGGTTTTAGATATGGCACTAATCTGCTCATAGTCAGGGGGGGTGCACATGTTGCATGTTAGGCTGGAACAGTGGCGTGGGCGAGGAGGAATTGTGGGTGACTGTGGCCCGACGCGGAGGCGTCGTCGTCACCCTGCGAAAGCTTGCACTGTTGCTTTGGTGTAAATGTCTGTTGGTGGGTAGAGTGTGACTTCTGCTGCTGGAGAAAACACAAAAGGATTTTAGGCAAATGTGTGGATGGTGTATTGTGAGTCTTGGTGAATGTGGTCAGGAAATTTGGCGGCATCTAGAGGGTAAATCTGCTGACTGGTGGCGGCAAGTCCACGTAGGAATGCAGTTAGTCGACTCCAGGAAAACACCAGAAGGAGGCTTTTTAAAAGGGAATTACACAAGCGCGGATTATGCTGCGGTGCATAATGGAAACCGACCTCGCTTTGCTTCTCGCTTGCATGCCAACAGTTGAACGATGCAGTTGAGGGGGGAGAGCAGGCACGAGCACCTGCAACAGAGCACTTTCCGCGCTGTGCAGTTCAAACACGCTTGACCTCTTTATGTATTCAGTCATTCACATTCTGTTCGGCATCAGATCGGCAGCCCGTGCGCTACGCATGCATTTTTCTGTTCTGCTTTTGACTAATGCTTTTCATTAAAACTGAGGCTAGAAAGGACATTTCCCCAGGTTTAAAGTCCTAGCTGAGTGGTAGCTCTTCTCCCTTTTGCTTTTACCCTGAGGAAGCTGTTTACCTATTTCTCCTGTACACAGCTGAATGCTTGTGTCTCACAGCGGCGTCCCCTTTAGGTTATTGAACCAGGAGTCTTCTGGTCCACCAGCTTGGCCTCTTTCAACAGCCTGACTGCTCCCTCTCGTACACACGGTCACGTATAGGCTGAGGGGAATTCATGCTCAAAGTAGAAGTGAAATTGGTATGAGAGTGTGTTCATGCAGGTGAAATTGCATGTGTTTAAGTGCTCACATGAGCAGTTGTTCATGTGATGTTTAAGCATGTGAAAGTATGGAGCTAACAAGAGGATAATCTTGTGTTAACTTGAGCCCCCTGCTCCTTTTTTCTTTTTCTCTGAACCTATTCTTTCTGATGGTCGCAGAGATTTTCCAGCGACTCGTGATGTTGTCCTGTTTTACAAGAATGGCTGATGTCAGTCACAGTTGAGTCATGCTGCTCAGCGATGTGTGCCAGAGCAAGCTAATTATCTAATGGACTAATAATGACCCAGAGGAATCATTCTCCTCTGAAGAGTCTCTTGACTACTGTACTGGAGTGTCGACTGTATTCTGTTAATGACTGGTCTGTTGTGTGGGTCTGTGACAGAAGGTAGCACCAGGCACGGAGCCAGAACATCTTACATGCATC